TCTTAGAAAAAAGGAAAGGAAAGGAAGGAAAGAAGGAAGGGAGGGAGGGAGGGAGGAAGGAAGGAAGGAAAGTAGGAAGGAAGGAATAAGTGAGCCAGATGGTGGTGGTGTGTGCCTTTAATGCCAGCACTTGGGAGGCAGAGGCAGGTCGATCTCCAGGTTTGAGGCCACCCTGGTCTCCATAATAAGTTCCCGTATAGTCAGGGCTACAGAGAGAACCCCTGTCTCAAAAGAAAAAAAAACAGCGAGGTGGCACACAGCTTTAATCTCAGTATTTAGAAGGCAGAGACAGGTGAATCTCAAGTTTGAGGCCAGTCTGGTCTACAGAATGAGTTTGAAGCCAGCCAAGGCTTCACAGAGAGACCCCATCTTGAAAACAAACAAACAAACAAACAAAGAAAACAAAACAAACCAGGGGCTGGAGAGATGGCTTAGAGGTTAAGAGCACTGGCTGCTCTTCCAGAGGTCCTGAGTTCAATTCCCAGCAACCACATGGTGGCTCACACCCCTCTGTAATGGGATCTGCTGCCCTCTTCTGGCCTTCAGGCAGACAGGCAGACAGAACACTGTATATACATAATAAATAAATAAATAAAAACCTTAAAAAAACAAGCTTTGGAGAGATGGCCCAGAAAAAAACAAGGGTTGGAGAGATGGCCCAGAAGTTAAGAGCACTTGCTGCTCTTCTAGAGGTCCTGAGTCCAATTCCCAGCACCCACATGGTGCTCACAACCATCTAAATGAGATTTGGTGCCCTCTTCTAGTCTGCAGGCATATATGCAGGCAGAACACTATATACACAATAAATAAATAAATCTTAAAACAAAAACAAACAAACAGAGCCAGCAATATGACTCAGCAAGTAAAGGTACGTGCTGCCAACCCTGATGACCTAAATTTGATCCCTGGAACTCATATGGTAGGAGAAAATTGACTTCAGACAATTGTCCTTTGATCTCCACACCCATACCATGCTTGCCCACACAAAAGTAAAAAGCTACAAAGAATATGGTAATTCTTTTTTTTTGTTTTGTTTTGTTTTGTTTTGTTTTTCAAGACAGGGTTTCTCTGTGGTTGTGGAGCCTGTCCTGGAACTAGCTCTTGTAGACCAGGCTGGCCTCAAACTCACAGAGATCCACCTGCCTCTGCCTCCTGAGTGCTGGGATTAAAGGCGTGCACCACCACTGCTCGGCCTATTTGCACTTTTGACACTGGGTATCAAACCTAGAGACTTTTTACCTGGGAAGTACTTGCTCTGCCATGAGTTACCAGAGGCTCTTGTTGTTGTTGGGACATTTCTCACTATGTAGTTCTAGTTGGCCTGGAACTTGTTATGCAGACCAGATTGGCCTCAAACACAGAGATCCTCCTGCCTCTGCTTTTCAAGGGCTAGGATAAAGGCTTATACCACAATAACCCGGTTATTTTTAATTATGTTTATTGATGTATAATTGTGTATAAGTGTGTGTGTGTGTTGAGCTAGGGCATTTATTTATTTGTTTATATACTGTTTGTTTTTACTGTTTTGATTTTTTATGTATACAATATTCTGTCTGCATGTATGCCTGCAGGCCAGAAGAGGGCACCAAACCTCATTACAGATGGTTGTGAGCCACCATGTGGTTTCCGGGAATCGAACTCAGGACCTTTGGAAGAGCAGGCAGTGCTCTTAACCTCTGAGCCATCTCTCCAGCCCCCTGTTTTGATTTTTTGAGACAGGGTTTCTCAGTGTCGCTCTGGCTGTCCTGGAACTCACTCTGTAAATCAGGTGGCCTCAAACTCATCAGTTGCCTGTAGAGTGCTACCTTCATGCAGTACCTGCAGAGACCATAAGGGGGCACCATATACCCTTGAAACTGGAGTTGTAGGTGGTTGTGAACCATAACTGAGTGCTGGGACTCAAATCCAGGTCCTCTTCAAGAACAATCAGTGCTATGTCTTACCCATTGAGCTATGTCTCCATTTGCAATATTAATTTGTGTGTATGTGGGGGACATTCATGTGCCACTGTGGATAGAGGACAACCTGTGGGAATCTGTTCTCATTTCTTTCTCAGTTCTAGGGATCAAACTCAGGTTAAAAGGCTTGACAGCAGACCCCTTGACTCACTGAGTCACCTTGACAACCATGGTCTCAAACTCTCCATCCTACTGCCTTAGCATCTCTAGTTCTGGGATTATAGGTGTATGGAATGATATACTAGCAATATGGGGCTAAAAATAACTTCATTAAAATGAACTAGAAATTGGATGTGGTGGTGCAGGCCAAGCCTTACCCCTACTCTCCAGAAAGAAAAGTTCTAGTAGATCACTTGCTATGTTTCTGAGCCTGGATTTCTCTGTGTAGCCCTGGCTGTCCTGGAACTCACTCTGTAGACCAGGCTGATCCTGAACTCACAATTCTACCTGCCTCTGCCTCCTCCTCCTGAGTGCTAAGATTAAAGGCATGCAACACTGTTCAAGTATTTTTTTTCAAATATCTGTTTTTTATTAAGTTTTGTTTGTGTGTGTTTTCATGTGAGTTTTTTGTTTATTTGTTTGTTTATTTTATGAGACAGGGTTTCTTTGTGTAGCCCTGGCTGTCTTTAAACTTGCTCTGTAGACAAGGCTGGCCTCAAACTCACAGAAAATGGGATCACACCCTTGATCCCAGCACTGCCTCCCAAGTGCAGGGATCAAAGGTGTGGGCCACCCCCACCTACATGATGAGCTATGCCTGAGTGTATGTATGTTGTTCATCACAAGCGTGCAGGAGCCCAAAGAAGTCAGAAAAGATGTTAGATCTCCTGGAACTGGAGTCACAAATAGTTGTGAGCTGCCATGTGTGTGCACGGAATGGAACAAGGTTATCTGCAAGAGAAGTTAGTGCTCTTCACTCTGAAGCCATCTTTCCAGCCCCTGTGTTATGTTTTTTCCACAAAAAAAAAAATCGTGGTTTAGAAAAGAAGGAGGGGGTAGGTATAGATCAATTAAAAACAAAAAACTAATAAAAAAGGAAAATCTGGCATTTCAAGGATGGCTCAGAGGTTAAAAGCACTGTCCGCTCTTTAGAGGACCTGTGTTGGGTTCCTTGACCTACATGGTGGCTCACAACTATCTGTAACTCCAGTTCTAGGGGATCCACTGTCTTCTGTCCTCCTTGGGCACTGCATAGAGATGGCGAACTTACATACATGCCGGCAAAATACACACACACAAAATAGAAATAAACCTTTTGTTGTTTATTCTTTCACTTTACGTATGACTTCTCTCATTTTATGTATATGGCTGTGCAACAACTATATGCATGCAGTGCCCACAGAAGCCAGAAGAGGGCGTCAGATACAGACAGTTGGCAGCCACCAATGCGTGCTGGAATAGGTAGGTACTCTAGTCCTCTGGAAGGGTAGCCAGTATTCTTAACTGCTGAGCCGTTTCTCCAGATCCCAATAAATCTTTTTTAAAAACAGAAAGTCTCAGCTTAGAAAAGTATATCCATCTTTTAAATCATACATACATATACATGTGTATGTAGTTTTGTGTGACTGTGTGTCGAGACAGAGTCTTGTCTTCTGCACTGGATGGCCTGATCCTCACTATGTAGACCAGGTCACTTCCTGGGTGATCCTCCTTTCTCAGCTTCCTGAGTGCAGGTATTAAAGGCATACTAATTTCCCTTTGACTGGAACAGTCATACACAGAACAGTCTGACTGGAACAGTCTGACAGAAGGCAGCTGTCAGAATTGGGTAGTGGGTATAGGAGAGTAATAGAAAGGGTGAGACTTCTTTTTGTACTGTGGAGCATTGTTTGACTTTTTTCCCCCACACGAGTAGGAATTCATTTTCTTTTTTCATAATACATGTGTTATTTTTTTCTCTCAGAGTTTGGGAACCACTGGGCTAAATATACCCAATATATAGTAGCTAGTAGCCATATGTTGACACACACACAGCGGGGTGGTATAGAATATGGCTAATCTCTACCGTATTGAACATTGAACGGTGCCGCAGAACCTTTCCAGCATTGGAAGAAGTCTTGTTAGACAACCCAGGTCTGGATCATCGTTCCCATGTAAGGTAGGTAGTACCTGCTTGGATAATCTGCCATCCAGAGTACGAATTAATTAGTAGGAATTAACTACTGGTGCCTATCAATTGAAGCTTGTAATCCTCGGTTAACCGCCTGGGTGAGTTAGGCATTAGGAGACAACGAAGGTTATTATTACCAGATCGGCTTTCTATGGGATATAGTGGAGGTCTGATGTGAAGACCTACAACATACTGGCTCCAGCACCGCCGACCAACCTGTTGAATCTCTCAGCGATGGGAACCTTAGTGATGTCTGGCCCATCGGGTTCTCTGGTTACCATGGAAATAGTGCTGGCTACAGTTTCTGGGTAATCGCACAGAAATTAAAGTGTCAAAATCGCTTAACCTCCTGTCCCTTTCTATAATCAATACCGTTTCAGTTGCACTTCCCAAATATACTCAGCACTGGGAACGGAAACTAAAATGGGAGAGTGTTAGGGTGCAAGCTTTGAGGAAGTGTGAAAATAGAAACATGGCGGGGCACTTTTTTTTTTCCCAGTAGCAAACGGCTAGCTCTGCCACACCGAATACAATGACATTGTTACTCTTGATTTTTGCACAGGCGCAGTGCATAAACTCTCAGCGCACGCCTACACGCGCATTTTCTCCCTTTTCTCTCCACTTTTCCTCTCTCACTAGTTCTCTCCTTTCCTCCTCCCACCACTAGGTCTTTCAGTCCTTTCGTGGGCCGGTTAGTCTTTCCTTCCGACCTCCAACCGTCCAAGGCTACCTCCCATCCCCCTTCCTTTTCCGTCTCTCACGCTGTGCCTCTAGTGCATGCGCAGAAGGTACAAAGCCTCGCTCTTTGTCCCCCATCTGTCGTTCACACGAACCCAAGGCTTTGACAGTTGGTAGCCAATAGAATCTAAGAAATGGCGGATAAATGAGTCTTCCTCTGGAGATAAACTTTGATTGGCAGTTCACATAGCCAATCGGGAATCCAATATTGACCCCCTTGGGAGGCACCGAGCTCCGTCGGCTCGTTTCCGGCGGTCGCGCGCTCTTTTCTCGGGACGGTGGAGGCCGTGCAGCGTCGCCGTTACTCTGAGCAAAGAACTGTGGGCAGAGGGTGAGTTTAGGGACGGCTCGGTGCTTGTTTGGGAGGGCAGTGGCGTTTCCTGCAACGATCCGCAAAGGAAGGGGCTAGGGCGAGGCTGAGTTTGGACAGAGGATGTGGGTTCGAAGGCCCCGTGAGGCCTTTCCCCCTCCGCGTACGGCCTTCGCAGCCCACCCGTGGGGTCCAGCACACACGCCGCTCCACGCGCGGGGGCTTCAGCCCATGCTTTTCTTGCTTTCCTGCCCGGCTCTTTTGTACTACTCATTCCCAAGTCTTAGCGACCATAGTTGGTGGCTTCTGAGCCGCCCTGGGCCGGAGGGTGTGGGGTCTATTATGCGAAAGCCCTGAAGTCGTGGCTGGAGGAGGTGGCGCTTTGCTTTGTCGGACGCTCCTCCTCCTCTTTAGCCCCGCGAGGCCATTAATTCCGAGAGGGCCAGTGGGGCCCCTGGAGCTATGTTTCTTTGTGAAAACAACTTTTAAGTTTGAAGTTTGCTAGTTCAGACCCCCTTGGCATTTTGGAACTAAGTTCATGAAACACCTCCACCCCACCCTCGCGCTCTAGAGCGCGCGCGCGCCTTTTTTTCCAAACCTCTTGCTGCTTAAGCTTTTCCTAGCCATTTGTAGGTATCGCTTTTCTAAGTTAAACTTACATTTATGGCTTTACTATCGAGTCTTTTTCACTTTGTGGAAGTCTTACTAAGCTGACACCTTTCTTTGTGTTTTTTAACAGAAGTCGGGGTTAGGATTGGGAGACAGACACTTTGCTGTGCTCAAATCGAAGTCAAGGTAGGTGTAGGAGTTAGGGTTACCAGGTAAAGTGTAGGATGCTCAGTTGAATACGGACTTCATTTTGACAACAAATTAATTTCGGTGGACTTCTCATGTTATTAAAGCAAAATATTTTTTAAATCTTAAATTAAAATGAAATTGAGCTGTGTCTTTTTTTTTTCCCAAAAAAATCTGGCTGCTCTAATTGGGGATAGTGCTTAAATTTATGTTTGTACAACTTTGTTGTTATTAAATGAAAAGTCCTAAAAAAAAAAAAACCTCAGTAGCAGCCTTTGCCATGTTTGTATTTTACAGCTTTCACAGTGGCCCACCAGGCGGCCATTTCAGCCTGGTGAATTCACATTGTATTTCTCCAGCGTTTTCCACTTACTGGTTTGACTCTTCTAAATACTCAGGGATCCTTGATCTTTGACGTAGCTCTCAGATGCCTGTACTAACGTGGTCCTGTACCTCTAAACACGTGTGCAGTTGTATAGCACACAGTCTTTCTAATCAACAACACATACACTCTGAACAGTCCTTTTCATCATGGGTAATCTTAGGACACATAAGTGGACAGAATTGCTGCTGATCTTTTTCTGAAGGCCAATAGTTAGGAGTTTGTAAGTTTGTTTCTGTTTATCTAGTGAAATTACATTGTTGCAGTTGGTGGTAGGAAGTATGTCTTGAGCGCCTGGTACTCAACTTTGTATTCCGTGGTAGCTCAGGTGCTTTAGACAGTACTACCTTACCTTCATTGGCAAATGCAAACTTTGGGAAAAGACTACAAGAAAGGGACAGATTGTGGGGATCTTTATTCGAAACATAAAGGTGGGCAGTTTGGTTATTAGAAGTCATTCATGGCCAGGTGTGATGGCAAAAGCAGGCCAATCTCTGGTCTACAGAGTGCCTCTGCCTCCTGAGATGACATTTGTTTAACATTCCTGTTCCTTACGTGGAACTAGAAATGGTAGTTTCCTGCAGGAACAAGTGCTTTGTCTGTTCCAGAATGACAGCTAAATGCTGTGTAGTGGTATTTCACTTAGGCCTTAAAGTTAACCACTCCTTTAAGGTCACTAACTGCTGTTCACCCCCATTATCGCCATCCTAACAGGTTGCGCAAGTTAGGTGATGTAGCCAGTGAGTTTGTTGGAGTTTAAATTGAAGTTAAGGCTTTGCTGTGTTTTGAGTTTTTAGAGGTCAACAGATCTGGGTTTCATTCCTTACACTGGTGTGGCCTTGTGTGGGTAAAGTATTTTTTAGATTCTGTTTTCATTCGAAATAATAACAGCTGGGGGCACTAAATAAAATAATGTACGTGTAGAACATTGCCTGGCTTTTTTTTTTTTTTTTTTTTGGAAATAGGATCTCAATTTCTAAATGGCCTAGCCTAGAACTCACCATGTAGACAAGGTTGGCCTCTCTCATAGAGATCCATCTACTTCTGTCTCCTCAGTGCTGGGACTTAAGGAGTGGGCTAAGATGCCTCCTGAGTGAGCCCTGGGAGTGAAGGTGTGCAGCATCCCATTCTCATTCATCTTGTTGCCTGGATTCTAATGAGCACTAAATATGTTACCTTAATTTGCAGAGTGTACTTTTTAAAAACAATTGTCTTTGACAATTTCATACATGTTTATGATGCATAAAGATGGCTACTCTTCCCCTTCATCCTCTTTATTCTCTCCCATCTCTGCCAGCCCCACAATAAACTTATTTTTCCAGAATATACTTTCCAAACCCAAAATACAACCTCCTTTGAAATAAATGGTTTAGAATATTTTTCCTTTTTTTTAAAGACAGAATTACACTGTGTAGGTATAGCTGACCTGGAAAACTCAGGTCTGGAACTCAAATCCACCTACTTCTGCCTCCTCAGTGCTGGGACTAAAGGAGTGGCCTAGAATGCCCAGTTTTTGGTTTGTTTTTGGAGACAGGGCCTCACTAATATAGCCCAGGTTGTCCAGGAACTGTGTAGCCCGTGCTGGCAGGAAAGCTGGGAATCATCCTATCTTGGCCTTCAGAGTGTCACTGTAATTAAAGGCTGCAGGAAAAAATGTTTCCTGGATTCCGAGCTGAGAAAAGGTAAGATTTAGTGGGACAAATGGCTGTGAAGATGATTAAAAAAATCTGCCACTGACTGCTTTGGAAGTAGAGGAAGGGGAACATTTAATACCTGTACTTAAAATAGAAAAAGATTGGCTTCTAATACCTTTCTTTCCCCATCTTCAACTGTTTCTGGGGTGGGCTTTCATTTCTTTGTCTTTTTTTTAAGAGGATGGGGAGATGTTGACACATAGCCAAGGCTGTTTTGAAACTATTTTATCGCAGCCTACACAAAGGTGGAATCAGGCATGCACCATCACATCTTGCATCTTTTTTTTTTTCTTTTTGAGACAGGTTTACGCCATAGCCCAGGCTGACCTCAGACAGCAAAGGCTAGGATTATAGAACAAAATCACTTTCCCAGTACCCAGTTTATTTTTAAATCATTGCTTGGAGCTGTGCTTGGTGGTGCACGACTTTAATACCAGCACTGGGAGAGGCAGAGACAGGTGGATGTCTGTGAGTTCAAGGTCAGATCAGTTAGGTCTACAGAGGAAGTTCCAGGACAGCCTTTTTGAAAAAAATATGCTTTATTTGCCATTAAATCACTATACCTGTTGATAAAATTTAAAATTATAGCTTTTCAGGAAAACTACATTAGCAAGAGTCACAAAGCTAAGATTGTTTCCTAATAAGTAAACAAAGCTAAAAGCACTACAGTGTTGTAATAGAAAAAAAAAACTGAAAGCACCTAAATTACGGAAGTTTAATAAATTGTGTATCCAGGATTCATTAAAATTAATGTTGACATTACTGAAATGAGGGAAAGCTAAACATCAAATGGTACGTTGGTGTTTAAACTAAAACAGTAATGTCTCAGGAAAAGTAAATAAACCGAGATGAAAGGGAAGAGGTGAAAGAAATATTTAAATGCACATGTGCCTAGAGATAGCTGTGTATTGATTCTAATCGTAAATATTCGTAACAACCTTGACAGGTGAATGTTGTCCATTCAGTTAGTCTTTATATTTGGAGAGGTGGTAGGAGGAAGACAGGATTTCTCTATGTAGCTCTGGCAACCCTGGAACTGATGTAGACCGGAGATCTGCCTGCCTCTGCCTTCTTAATGATGGAATTAAAGGTGTGCCCCATCATGTCCAGCCATGTTAACGATTTAATTACATAATGGATTATTGTATATCACAAGAAAGGTTATGAACTTTTTTTTTCTGGTGTTTTCTTTTTGTTTTGTTTGCTTTTGGAAACGGTTTGGTTGTGTAGCTGGATGTCCTGGAATTAGCTCTGTAGACCTCACAGAGATTTACTTGTCTCTGACTACCCAGTGCTAAGATTAAAGGTGAATTCTACCACCTCTGACTGGCATATTTTAAATTAGATTTATTTATTTTTTATTTCATGTAGGTGTTTCATTAGTGTGTATGTCTACACCTTGTGTGTCCATGAAGGTCAGAAGAACTGAGTTACACTGTAGATGGTTGTGAAGTACTGTGGGTCCTCTTCAAGAACAACAAATACTTGTTTTTGTTTTATTTTTTGAGACAGGGTTTTTCCTGTATAGACCTGTGTTCTTAACCTCTAAACTATGTCTTTAGCCTCCTACAATCTGTTTGCCTTAATGTGCAACTTCAGATAGACACAGATGGGGCTGGAGAGATGGCTCAGCTGTTAAGAATATCCATTGCTCTTGCAGAGGACCTGAGTTTAGTTCCCAACAACCATGTCAGAAGGCTTCACAGCTCCCTGAAAAGTCCAGCTCCAGGGGCTGTCATGTCCTCATCAGACACTGTACTTGCATACACATAATGAAAATAAAATTATTTTTAAAAAAATCTATGTTAATGGCTAGAAGGGTGTGTTAGGATTCTCTAGAACTGATAGATCTATCTGTATCTGTTTTTAGATAGATATAAAGGGGGTTTATTGGAGTGACTGATTGGCTGTGGTCCAGCTAATCCAACAATGGCTGTTTACTAATGGAAAGTTCAAGAACTCAGTAGTTCTGTCCATGAGGCTGGATGTCTCAGTTGGTCTAAAGTATGCACTGGAATCTTAAAGTGCCTGTGAAGGCATGGACTTGCCATTGAGATTGGGGGCAAGCAGGCAAAGAAAGCAAGCTTTTTTTCCCATGTCCTTTATATTTGCTGCCACCAGAAGGTGTGGCCCATAAGGTGGATCTTCACATTTCGGGTGACTTCATTTAGAAAAATCCCTCACAGGTGTACCTAGCCTCTTAGTTTTTTAATTAATTCCATATATAGTCAAGTTGGCAACCAAGAATAGCCATAACAAAGGGTGTACCATAATGATAATAATAACTTATTGTTTTTTATGTATATATGTATGTGGGTATGTGCATATGGTGTTCAAAAGAGGGCCTTAGGTGTCTGATTTCCTAGTGCAGGAGTTACAGGCATTTGTGAATTGTTCAGTATGGGTGTTGGGACCAGGCTTTTTTTTTTTTTTTTTTTTTTCCTCCTTCCCTCCTGGTCTATATAGCCCTGGTTGCCCTCAAACTCATTTCCTGCCTCAGGCTCTCAGAGTGCTGAAATTATAGGCACACAGTAGCTGTTTTGGGTTTGTTGTTTGGTTGTTTTAGGTTTTATTTACTTTTTTTGATTCACATACCAGGTGTGGGTTTTGTCCCATCTGGGCAAAGAGGTACATGCCTTAATATCAGCATTCTGGGAGGCAGGTGAGTCTTTGGGTTCAAGGCTAGCCTGGTCTGCACAGTAAGCTACAGTGTAGCCAGGAGTACATAGAGAAATTTTCTCTCAACCATTTTTAAGTTCAGTGTGTGTGTGTAAGTGAGGTCAAAGGACTGTGGGAGTCAGTTCTCCTTTAGCTGTAGGGTCCTAGGGGTGCAGCACAGAGTGTTAGTGAGGGCCTTATTAACTGGAGCTTTGTAACATTGCACACACCTTTAATCCCTGTGGGAGACAGAGCAAGTTCCAGGACAGCCAGTGCTATACAGAGAATCCTGTCTTGAAAACAAAAAAGACACAGACGGAGAAGAAATGTTGACAATTCATGTCTATTCCGAAATGTCAGCTTTTCAGTCAGGCAATTCAAAATTACATTGGCACCCAAATAGCCCATTTGTGTCTCATCTCTCCCAGTTTTTGTATTTAATTGGCACTAACCTCTTAAGTCCTGTGTAATTTATTATGTCTATTTTAGCTTTCACAGAAAAGTAGGCTCTGAAAGCCAAAATGTGATATGTCCATCTAGACTATCACCTAGCAAATAGTAGGCATCCAATATATGTTAAATGAATTGGTGAAATGAAAGATTATCAGTAGTACATATACGTGTGTTTTGGTATGTATATTGTTCACTTATCTCTTGAACAAAGTTTTCTCTCTCCCTCTCACATACAGACAATATAACCCTCATAATTTTCAGTGCCATGTGATTCCCATCAGTTATTTCAAAAATTTAGCATGACCTATTCCTTTAATCTTTGGTAATTCAGTCATTTTTATTGTTCATCTCCATAAAGGCCATCATAGTGAATATTTTCATGGCCACACCTTAAATTTCTTTTTTTTTTTTTTTGCTGTTTTGTAGTTTAAAAAAATACTTCCTTTTTTATGCCTTTGTGTGTGTGGGGGTTGCCTGCCTGCGTATCTTTTTTTTTTTTTTTTTTTTTTTTTTTTTTTTTTTTTTTTTTGGTTTTTCAAGACAGGGTTTCTCCATAGCTTTTTGGTTCCTGTCCTGGAACTAGCTCTGTAGACCAGGCTGGCCTCGAACTCACAGAGATCCGCCTGCCTGTCTCCCTAGTGCTGGGATTAAAGGCATGCGCTACCACCGCCCAGCTGGATGAAATTTTCTATTTTTTCTATTTTAAAAAAGATGCGCAGGGCTGGGCAGTGGTGGCGCACACCTTTAATCCCAGCACTCAGGAGGCAGAGACAGGTGGGTCTCTATGAGTTCGAGGCCAGCCTGGTCTACAAGAGCTAGTTCCAGGACAGGCTCCAAATCCACAAAGAAACCCTGTCTTGAAAAACCAAAAAAAGAAAAGAAAATTTCATCCAGTACAGTTTGATCATACTTTCCCCTCTCCCAACTCCTAGATTCTCTACCCACCCAGCTCCACACTGTTTCTCTCTTCAAATACACACACGCAGAGACAGAGAGACCCAGTCATGAAACCACCTGACATTGATGTTAGGAACAGAACACATGTCTTCTGTGAGAGAGCTCATAACTGCTGGCCTGTCTTTCTAGCTCTCCAGTCCCCTGCTGTTTGGTTTTTGAGATAAGGTCTTAACTTTATACCCTGTGCTGGCCTGAAACATCATCTTTCGCTTCCACCTTCTGATGTACTGCCTCAATTGGAGTTTTTGTTTGGGCTTTTAGTTTTCTGGCGTTTAAATTTTTTTTTTTTTTAGGTTAAGTCTAGGAGTATGATTCTTATTCCTGAATTGAAAAGATATGAACATCTTGATGGCTCTTGTTTTGTGTGCTGTTTTAAAATTTAAAAAAAAATATTAAGTATAGGTTTTGCGTATACCACGGTATGCATGTAGAGAATCATGGAACCATTTCATGGGGTTGGTTCCCCATGTGGTTTCTGGGATCAAACTCAGGACTGGCTTTTTAACAAGTGCCTTTACCCACTGATCTGACTCTAACACACTTTCTGCCTTCTGAAATAGCCTTCAGATATAAAATAAAGAAGAGAAAAACTTGTGTATGCACTTAACTAAAACCAACAGTTGGTCAAAAATTTATCAGAATTTGGGACATAATTTTTATTAAAGGTATCCTGTGTTAACAATATGTGGAAAAACCTTCTGCACTTTTATTATTATTTTTTTCTGTTTTTTTGAGACAGGGTTTCTCTTTAGCTTTTGGAGCAGTTTCTGTAGCTTTGGAACCTGTCCTGGAACTCACTCTGTAGACCAGATTAGCCTCGAACTCAGACCTGCCTGCCTCTGCCTCCCAAGGGATTAAAGGCTTGCGCCACCACCACCTGGCCTTTCTGCTTCTTTTATTGACAACTTTGCTTCAACTGAATTCTGACTGGGGAATCTTCGTTCACTGGATGAGTCAGGAGTTTTTGGATGAGGATGATGATCCTCCGTTTTTTAAAGACTGTCAGCTTTTTAGCTAGACATGGTTGGACATGCTTATAAAACAGGCCGTTGAGAACTGGAAGGACCAGAGTTCAAGACCAGCCTTGGCTACACACAGATTTAGTCTTTATTACATTTATTTGTGTGTATGTGTAATCAAAGAACAAATTGCAGGAATTCGTAACCCAGGGATTGAACTCAGGTTATCAGGTTTAGAGGCAAGAGCCCTTACTGTAAGGCTGACTTTTCTTGTCTTTTCTTAGTTTTCAGATGACAGAAGGGAACATTTTGTCTTTTTGTATTTGCTTTTCTTTTGCTTTGCTACAAATTGAGTTCACTCTTAGGCTCAGTCACAACCTGTTCTTAAACCTTAGATCTTACTATCGTGATTAAGAATTACTATAGAGTCTGGAAAGATGGCTCAGCCATTAAGAGTACTTGTTGCTATTCTAGAGTACCTGGGCTTGATTTCCAGCATCCTGGTAGCAGCTTATAACAGTAACTCCAGTACCAGAGCCATCTTCTAGCGTCACAGGACATAAGGCGCATAATATACTTGGTACATTGACATGCAGATAAAACACCCATGCACTTAAATGTGTTTTTAAATTTATTTTTTACATGCCAATCCCAGTAACCCCCTTCTTCCTTTCCTACCGTTCCCCTCCCCAACCTTCTCCATACCCTATCTGCTCCTCAGAGAGGGGTAAGGTTTTGTTTGGATTTGGTTTTGGTCTTGCAATACAATGTTTCTCTGTGTAACAGCCCCAGGTCTCCTGGAACTTGTTTTGTAGAAATCTGCCTGCCTCCGAATGCTGGCACTAAAGGTGTCTACCCCCACACTGGCCACCTAAATAAATCTTAAAAAAAAAAAACAAAAAACTAGTGAGTGCTTAGTATATGCCAGTAGCGAGTTATTCTCTAATCCTTATAGCCATATCAAGGAGCAGGTATTTTTGGATGTCTGTTTATAACAGCATTATAAGAAATGAGGCAGATTTCATTGTAGTGAGTGCATAGTATTAGGACCATAATTCAAACCTAAGTCTTTAACCCTGCAGTCCATACTTCCCTCACTTAATTTGGAAGTATCTACAGTGAACTTTGCTTTAGGTGATAGCGATGATCAAGACTTCTGAACTTTTTATGGCAGTTTTGTTTACTTTGTATCTTTCGTTAATTTTTTTTGAGACAGAGTCTCTGTATCCCAGGCTGTGGTTTGTTTTTTGGAGACCGCTACTTACTTACTCTGTATAACCCTGGTTGTCTCTGCCTCCCAGGTACTAGGATAAAAGGCATGTGCCACTACAACAGGTGCACACTGAGTGGGTGTTTTTTTTTTTTTAATTTAAAACTTGTAAAGATTGTTTTGTTTGGGTATGTTTGAGTGCGGGCAGATGCCCATGGAGGCCAGAAGATAGCATTTAATTTTATGGAGCTGGAGTTAGATGCATCTTTTTATTTATTTATGTATTTTTGAGATAGGGTTTTTTTGGTGTAACCCTGACTGTCCTTGTACTTTGTAGACCAGGCTAGCCTTGAGCTCACAGAACTCCACCTTCTTCTGTCTCTCAAGTCTACAATTAAAGCCACATGTGCCACCACCACCCAGTACTAGATGTATTTTAAATAAATAGATTAGAAAAAATTTAGAGAATGTTGGGATTAAAGGCATGTACCAGTGCCACACCCCATGCCCGGCCCTCTGTGGTTTATTGTTCTCCTTTGTTTTGAGGCAAGATCTCATTGGGCAGCATTTGGCTATCCTGAAACTTAACTATGTAGACCAGGTTGACCTCAAACTCAGAGATCTGCCTCTGTCTGCTTCCTGAGTGCTAGGATTAAAGGTGAGCTCCATCAGGCCTGACCCTTTGTGGTTTGTTTTGTTTTGTTGTTTTTAGTTTTTCAAGCTTTAGTTTCTCTGTGTAGCCCTGGCTGTCTTGGAACTTGCACTGTAGACCAGTCTACACTTGAACTCAGCGATCTCTCTGCCTCACAAACCTTGGGAGGAATGTTTTTAAAATGTGCTTTCATACACAATAGAGCTGGTTTGGAGGAAAGGTTTGTTTTTTTTTTTTTTTTTTCCGAGACAGGGTTTCTCTGTAGCTTTGGAGCTTGTCCTGGAACTAGCTCTTGTAGCCTAGGTTGGCCTTGAACTCACAGAGTTCTGCCTCCCAAGTGCTGGAATTAAAGGCGTGCTCCACCACTGCCCAGCTAAAATACAGTCTTAAATATCTTAGGCTGTCTTAAATTGTGCCTTGTTATTCAGACAAACCACTTGTAAAACACAAATGATGGAATACCAAGATAAATTTTAGTGAAATGTAAATTGTCAGTAACTGACTAAATCCTAAATGCTGGATATTTGACATTCTACTTTTTTCTGTAGGGTGCAAACATGCAGAGCAATAAAACCTTTAACTTGGAGAAGCAGAACCATACTCCAAGGAAGCACCATCAACATCACCACCAGCAGCACCATCAGCAGCAGCAGCAGCAGCAGCAGCAACAACCACCCCCACCAATACCTGCAAATGGACAGCAGGCCAGCAGCCAGAGTAAGTAAATTGTGAGTGATGGAACATAAATAGGTTCCATCAAGAACAGTTTCATCATGGTTTTTAGGATATTAGGTAAATAGGGCTTTAGTGGCATACTTTTTACTTTTTTCCTGATTTTGTCAAGACATGCTTTCTCTAACAGCTCTGGCAGTCCTGGAACTAACTGTAGACTAGGCTGGCCTCTGCCTTCCTGAGTCCCAGGATTAAAGGACTCACCACCACTGCCTGGCTTTTTTTTTTTCCCAGGTAGGGTCTCATCATGCAGCCCTTGACTGCTGGCTTAGAATTTGCCTCTGCATCCCTCCGGGATATGGGAATGTGTCCTGTTCTGTTTTGTTCTGTGTGTATTTTTTAAACAACATTTTAAAAATTATTTCTATTTTATGTGTATTGATGTTGTGTGAGGGTGTCCGATCCCCTGGAACTGGAGTTACAAAGAGTTGCGAGCTGCCATATGGGTGCTGGGAATTGAAACTGGCTTCTCTTAAGCACTGAGCCATCTCTCCAGCTTCCTGTTTTTGTTTTTAAAATAAGATTTAATTTATGTGTATGAATGTTTTGTTATTTGTATCTAGTGCTCATGGAGGTCAAAAGAGAGCATTGGATCTTCTGAGTTTTTTTTTTTAAGGTGGTTGTCAGCTGCCACTTTGGTGGGAATCAAACCTGTTTCCTCTGGAAGAATAATAAGTGGTCTTAACTGCCGAGCCAACTTTCTAAGCTTTTCCTATTTGGTTCTTAAGTGGTATTTTATGATAGAAGGGGGTTGATCACCTGAAACAAAGAAACAGACATCAGTAGAGTATATGTTATACTGTTATTGGCATGTTCTACTGACAAACAAATGTCTGTCTGTGTGTAGTTTGGGTCTTAGAGATAGCCATCACAATATAGGGAAAAATTTAAGACTTAATACTATAATAAGACTTAGTTTCTGGTCTATATCCCCAGGCTATTTTTAATCTGTTAAAAAGTCTTTGTATGTTCTCGTTCCTTTAGGAATCTGAGTACCTATAAGAATATAAACCTGGCTGGGCAGTGGTGGCGGACACCTTTAATCCCAGCAGAGGCAGGTGGATCTCTGTGAGTTCAAGGCCAGCCTGGTCTACAAGAGCTAGTTCCAGGACAGGCTCCAAAACCACAGAGAAACTGTCTCAAAAAACCCCCCAAAAAAAAAAAAAAAGAAGAAGAAGAAAAGAAGAGAAACCCAGTAGTATGGGGGTGACTAGAGAAATGATTAATTTTGCTTTCAGAGGCCTTGAGTTAGGTTCCTGGCACCTGCATAAGGTATCTTAGTACCAACTGTAACTCCCAGGAAATCCAGCATCCTTTTCTGACTTCATGGGGGCCCATACACACATGGAACATAGTCACACTTACACACACAAAGTAATTTTTTGAAAGGCAATAGAAGTAGAGGCTGATGAGGTGGCTCAGTAGTTAATTAAGAGCTGAGCCTGTACTACTCTTAGAAAAGATCTAGGTTCCATTCTGGGTACCCATATCAGGTGGGTCACAACCACCTGTAACTAACTTGAGTTCCAGGGATCTGCATATAAACTCATCCAGGCAGACATAAATACACATCTGTTGTTTGTTTGTTTGTTTTTGAGACAGGGTTTTTCTGTGTTAACAGCCCTTCCTGTCCTGGAACTCGCTCTGTAGACCAGGCTAGGCCTCAAACTCTCAGAAATCTGCCTCCCTCTGCCTTCTGAGTGCTGGGATCTAAGGTGTGTATCACAACTGCTGCTTTCACTTTCTAAAATGCCATTTACTGATGGATTGGATAGGATGCATTTGCAAGTGGTGTTTGTCTTCATCACAAAAGCAATGCTGAGGATATGACTAATTCTTTTCCTAATCTTTTGATTACTGTCTTCCAGATGAAGGTTTAACCATTGACCTAAAGAACTTTAGGAAACCAGGAGAGAAGACTTTCACCCAACGAAGCCGTCTCTTTGTGGGCAATCTTCCTCCTGACATTACTGAGGAGGAAATGAGGAAGCTTTTTGAGAAATATGGGAAAGCAGGCGAGGTTTTCATTCATAAGGATAAAGGCTTTGGCTTTATTCGCTTGGTAAGATTATTTTCCCTTAGGCTTGAAGGCCAATGTAGGTTTATTTGCCTTGTACACAAAGACTAAAGTATGGGGGTTATTTTTGGTTGCAGATCTCATTATGTAACCCCAGGGTTTCCTTGAACTCAAAGGGTTCCTATGTCTACTTCCCAAGTGCTGGATGACACACGTGTTTGCACCACCATGCTTGGGTTAAGTGAAAATGAAGTTTGTTTTAGTGATTATCAAGGTTTATATTATTCCCAAAATCCTTGTAAGACATGTATTGTCTTACTCTTAAAAACCCTGAGGGGTTCAAAATCTTTTACTATTAGGCAAGTGGATATGCATTTTCTTTCTGAGGGAGACAGTTGAATCAAATGCAGACTCTGATATTAGATAAGTGTGCTGCTGCTCAGTGGTGCTCTCAGTTCTGCCAATGTTTTGTGCAGATTTTATGTTTAAATCTGGCCAGAATTAAAGGCATGTGCCACCATACCCACCATTTCATCTCTGTTAAATTCTAATTTTCTTGTTTTTCCCAGGAAACACGAACCCTAGCGGAAATTGCCAAAGTGGAGTTGGATAATATGCCACTCCGTGGAAAGCAGCTACGTGTGCGCTTTGCCTGTCATAGTGCATCTCTTACAGTCCGCAACCTTCCTCAGTATGTGTCCAACGAACTGCTGGAAGAAGCCTTTTCTGTGTTTGGCCAGGTGGAGAGGGCTGTGGTCATTGTAGATGACCGAGGAAGGCCCTCAGGGAAAGGCATTGTTGAGTTCTCAGGGAAGCCAGCTGCTCGGAAAGCTCTGGACAGATGCAGTGAAGGCTCCTTCTTGCTAACCAC